AAATAATATATATATATATTATAAATATACATATATATTAATTATTTATATGAATATATTAATATATGATATGCATAGCTTAGCTATGCGCCAAAAAAAGCTGACCAAAAACGTTACATGCTTTTTTTTAAAAGGGATATTTTCATATTATGATATTGTCTCATGTGATATTTTTTCATGGGATTTTTCGAGAGTGATATTGAGCTGAGACACTCATGATATATGCACTGATAGAAGAATTCGGTTGATTGGAATTAAGAGCAATTAAATATTCGGGAATAGTCACCGAACGATTCATTCGAGCGGTAGCATGTGTAGCCGAATGACTCAATCAGTGGTTAAATCGATCCAACCTTTTTTTGTTTCCCATATATTTTATATAGGTAGGAAACAAAATGAAAATTAAAAATTACCACATGTCCTTTATCATAAAGTTGATTGCGAATGAATGATCGTTTTGATTGTTAACTTTTTATTTGTCTTCTGATTAGCTGATGAATGGATTGATCATTTCCATGACTACGAGGATGTTATTGTGGGCTACAGCCCTCACTTAGAGGAAGAGCACACGACAGCGCGCATGATTGCCTAGGGATACCATAAGACCTCCAAAATTATTGTGCATTTTCCGATAGGTTCTCTGTAAACAAATCAAGTTTTTCAGGGGAAAAAAGTTTTGCCTGAAAGACAAATGATGACTGATGACTATTTGTTTCCAGGGAACCTTGAGTGATGTTCCAAATAATTTTGAAGCTTCTGTGGTGTTCGAGGGATTATTTTTCCGACCCAAGTATCGGCCAATAGAATTGCCCCACCAGACGAAACTCATAGTTAAAAAACAAAAATTTCATATCTGTCAGTTTGTCGTGCGGTTAATTTGACTGGATAATGTTCTGTTTTTATAGAGCAATTACTAGAGGGAATTATCGAAAAAAAGAGTATAGGACCATTTAGGGTGTACCACGTGACGTCGAATGGTGCAATTCTATTGGTCGATATTTGGGTCGGAAGATAATCAATTGAATCGGGGGGTGAATATATAAAAAATAGTCGAATGATGCGATTCTATTGGTTGAAATTTGAAGAAAAAAATAATTAATAACATGTAGGCAAATATTTTTATATAATACTTTTGTTTAAATTTTATCTTTTTAGTCTTAAATGCATTGAAATTTGGGATCAAATTTGTGTTGCGGGAGCTACTCGAATGGTTATAAAAAAATAATGAAAAAAAGAGGAAAAATTATTGAAGGGCGCTAAAGAGCGATATTGTTTAAAAGGGATCTACCAAGTTTACAAAAAAATAATAAAAATTACGCAGCTTACCATTGCTCTAAGAAGATTGAGTGACAGCTAGATGCAATAGTAAGCTACGTATTTTTTATTATTTTTTAGCAAACTTGGTGAATCCCTTTTAAATAATATCGATCTTTAGCGCCCTTCAATAATTTTTCCTCTTTTTTTTTCATTATTTTTTCATGTCCATTCAAGTGCTTCCCCCAACACAAAATTGATCCCAAATTTTAATGTATTTCAAGTTAAAAATATAAAATTTAAACAAAAGCCGACGTTCGATAGATAGTTCACCCGGGCCTTAATTGAATATTTAAACGTTTTCTTAAGAAATATTTTCATTGGATTGCCCCAGGTGATGGAGCCTTACAACCCCTTCAAGAACGGTTCAGTCGAGGACTTCACGATAGGCACAGAAAATTGCGAGAACAAGATTGGATACTGCAATGGCCCCCTAAAAGCTGGATCCACATACAGAGTAAAAGTTCGTGCCTTCACAGCCCCTGATAAATTCACGGATACAAGCTACAGCTTTCCCATTCAAACAGGTGATTATTCTACCTAAAATAATGATTAAAGTTCGGTTATTGTAATTGTACGCTTTCGATGTTGGAGTGAATTCTTAAAAATTGAGTGAATTATTTCGCCAAGGGCCTTGGGGCCCTGAATTTATACATGGATTTACATGTACATGTCTCGCTCTTGAAGGATTGCTGCTGGCAGGTGAGAAACACTGTTGTTTGCCAGTGTTTAAAGTCTGTAGGATTGTTATTCGATATTTCAGCTGCAAACAGAATCTTGTTTGGATTATTCTTTAAATTACTGCCACATCCACAAGTCATTGTACGTTATGAACAAGCAATTGAAATTAACCGAAACACTTGAAAATAAACAGTACCCGACGATATTCAAATATTTTTACATTTTATCATTATCTACTTCAATAATTAAAATAGTAAACTCCTCATTAAATGAATTTACCTGGAGTCTATAAATAATAAATAATGCTAATTATTATTTTTCAGTAAATTACTAGCAAGTATTTAGAGATAATGAAGAAAAAGCATTTACTCTGAACACTATTCGTTTTACAGTTGATTTATCTCTAACCCATTGAATAAAAATGTAATCGATGTTCTGTTGAGCTTTCCAAGACTTTTTTCATTAACTGTCAAACAATAAAATCCCCTGAAAATTACGTAAATCTAATGGACTTCCCTATTGCTACTCAACAGATAAGGATAACACGACGATTATCGTGGGTGTGACAGTGCCGATAGTTCTTCTCCTGACGATGCTGGGTATTGGTTTATTAGTGAGGAGACACCGCAATCAGCGCAGAAAAATTACCGAGCCAAGGGCAACTGATAATCTCTCGCTTCCAGACAGCGTCATTGAGACGAGGTACACGTGCGGGAAAAAATAGAAAAGAATTTCAACTGGAATTTCCACCAATGCTATTAAAATTGCGATAAAATTTCTGCTGAGTAATAGAATTCTTTGTAGAAGTCATTTCCATTGTAATCGTTCAATTTTACGATTTTTATTTTGGATCGGGGAGTCTTCATTTAATTTTTAATTAAAACATTTCACTCGAAATTTCCGATTTTTTGGTAAATTGAAAAATTTGGTTTTTCGAAAAATGTTTGGCTGTAGACACAGTAATTTGAAATACAGTTGTAATTTGAAATAATGCACTTGAATATTTTTTAATCTCGGCTTTAATTTCAGTCGACCGATTCGAGTGGAGAATTTTGCGGAGCACTACAGGATAATGTCAGCAGACTCGGACTTCAGATTTTCGGAGGAATTCGAGGAGTTGAAACATGTGGGAAGGGATCAGCCCTGCACCGCTGCAGATTTGCCTTGCAACAGGCCGAAAAATCGATTTACAAATATTTTGCCATATGATCATAGCAGGTTTAAACTGCAGCCTGTGGATGATGAAGAGGGATCTGATTATATCAACGCTAATTATGTTCCTGTGAGTATTATTTATAATTATTTACTAATTATTATTGACTATTTTTCATAAGTTAATAAATTAATAGCCGTGATCATTGCAAAAATATTATTTTAAAATGAAATATCACATGAGATAACATTTCAACTTTTTTTGTAATACACGAAAATCAAATAGCCTACAATATTTTTGAATACTTTCTACTATATCATTATTTATAATAATAATTATTCATTGATTCCTGTGTGAGATGTAAACCGTTGATGAATTTTTTAATCATTTAGAATTTTTTAATTAATTATTAAACAGGCCGAATTTATGATGAACTACAGATTAAAAACCAAAATGAAACTCAAGGCAAAAAAATTTTTAAGATTATAGCGCATATTTTAAGGAGTGATATTTTAGTTAGTAAAATTTTGACGTAATAATTCAGCTAGTTAGGTTTTGACAATTAATATTACTCTCAGTTTTATTTAAATGAGATATCGAGTGAAACTGGTAACTGATGAATGAATTTTAGGGGCATAACTCGCCGAGGGAATTTATAGTGACCCAGGGACCCTTGCATTCGACTCGAGATGATTTCTGGAGAATGGTCTGGGAGAGCAATAGTCGAGCAATTGTGATGCTGACCCGATGCATCGAAAAGGGTCGAGAGAAGTGCGACCATTACTGGCCAATGGACACTTTACCAGTTTACTACGGGGATATATGCGTAACTGTTCTGAATGAGACACGTTATCCAGACTGGAGCATCACCGAGTTCATGCTCTGTCGAGGTGACGTCAAGAGGGTGATCCAACACTTTCATTTTACCACTTGGCCGGACTTTGGGGTGCCAAGTCCACCCCAGACACTTGCGAGATTTGTCAGGGCATTCAGGGAACGAGTGAGACCTGATCAGAGGCCAATAGTCGTTCACTGCAGTGCAGGGGTCGGCAGGAGTGGAACTTTTATTACTCTTGATAGAATACTCCAGCAGATTCAAGTCTCTGATTACGTTGATATCTTTGGGATTGTCTGGGTTATGAGGAAGGAGAGGGTCTGGATGGTTCAGACTGAGCAGCAGTACATCTGCATTCATCAGTGTCTACTTGCTGTACTCGAGGGACAGGACACACTCACTGGACCACCCAGGGAAATCCATGACAATCAGGGATTCGAAGGTACTATCTAAATTTCGGATGCACCCAAAATGCCGTATCACCATTTTTTTTTTCCTCGGGAAATTTTAACTAGAGTCGTATCACACTTTTGGCACGTCGTACTTAAAATTGCAAGTAAGAATACTTGGAATTTTTAGTAACGGCAGTGACATGAAATTTCTAAAGAATTTTACATCAAGGCCCGGGTGGACTATCTATCGAATGTCATCTTTTGTTTAAATTTTATCTTTTTAGCATAAAATACATTAAAATTTGGGATCAAATTTGTGTTCTTGTTTTCAATTTTCTGAGGGGAACGATAAAAAAAGGTGACGTAAAGTCATGTACAGATAATTTGAAATTCTAAATATCCGAAAAAAGTTATACTTGTTTCGAACTTTCTGAAAAAATGAAAATTCTCTATAGTACTTTTTTTTAGACGAAATCCACTTAAAAAAAATTGAAAGTTAGATTGAACGACAGATGATTCCTCATCATTTGCAATTTCCCGAGATAGGACTTGTCCAACATTTTCATTCAAATTTCCTGACGAATTTTAAAAAATGGTAATTCGGCATTTTTTCCTTCATTTCTTCTACACGTCCAAAGAAATATCGGACTCCGAAGAAACGATGACTCTAAATTCCTCAGATCCCCTCAATTATTATTTCAAAATCAATCCCACCAGGATGAGGAGATGATAATAAAAATCCCATACACAACGAATAAAAAACAATTCCCTTTTCTCTCCACCAATTCAAACCCCATTATTTCGGTAATTAAAATGCGTCAATGCGGATTGTCCGCAGTCGTAATTTCCAATCTGACTAATAAGAGATTCCCCTGAACGAATTTGAATCCAGGAAAGAACCAAACGTCCGTCGAGAATGCGATGAGTCCAGTAGCTGATGAAAAGGAGAGATGACCTTCAGATTCAGGAAACGAGGATGAGGGTAATTCCCCAGGCTTTCCCTAATCGTGCACGTCTGTTTTACCCAGCATTTTGTCTCATCCCATTGCATCGCATGATTACAATTATTTATTGTCTGATTTTATCTCACGTGCAAGCTATTATGTAGTGACCAGCAACTGATTCATGCAGTTTCTTCATATTGTATTGTTTTCTTTCACCAGAATTTATTAATTATTATTTATTTTTGACTCTAGATGTTCACGCATGAAACAAAAACTTTATCGGAGAAATTCTATTGTATTTGTATTAGAAATCCAGAGGAATTCGCTTGAAGTCAGAGTTTGATATTTTTCTTTTCGTGTAATGGAATTTGAAAATGAATTTTAATAGAATTCTTCAAGAGGATTCCCCGGAGAAACCTATTTTATTTATTTGTGAAACCTAGTTATTTATTTTTGCCCACATGGAGAGAAACATCGAATGAAAATTACGAGAAGTAGAAGGGGAACATTAAGTTTTTAATTGTAATTCGCTAAGTGAAGTTCAATGGAATGTGTGAGCTGGGAGAGAAATCGTACGAATTGTCAGGTGAAGTCTACAATCTGTCTCTTCAAAATTATCCATCAGTCTAATGACTCACTTCTGTGTTGAGATGTCATTCCGTCATTTTTTCCTAATGATTGAGACATTTTACGGAACAGAACGTGCAAACAACACGCGAGCCTCATAAAAATTGGATGTTCATAAATTTTTCATCGTTCAGGCATACTGAGTTCTGAATTTTCTCTGAGGTCTTACGTGTTTGGATCAAATTAAATGACAATCTCATACTTTTTTCGGTAGTCAACTTGAGAAATTATTCAACCTTTCAGATTTTTTTTCGTTCATTTCTCTAAAATCATTTGAAATCATTTGAAATCAGCGAAATCACTGTCATACTCCGGGATTATTCATTAGTGAAATCACTATGTCACCTTGGATTCAAATCACATAAAATCAATTCTGAAATCATGTGAAATCATGAGAAATCAGTAGAAATGTGTGGAGTGACATAATTTCATTGATTGCCTGTAATTTTATCTGAAATCATTTGAAATCATTCGAAAACATGAAATCGAAAGAAAAACCTCTTGAAATCACTTGGAGTCACTCGAAATCAATTATCCCCCCAGATCATTTGAAATCACTTTGAAATCATGTGAAATCAGCAATCATTCTGTCAATCCCTCGACGTCAACTGATTCGTAATTTTTATTGAATATTTCTCTCCGTCCATTTTTATTAATTTTTCTCTGTAATTTTGGAAGGAAATTCCATTCACTACTTCCATCGGAAATAACAGATAATTAATTTGAAAAAACGAGCCAGCTCCGATTGCATCCGACGATAGAATAAAAATATCATCACGAGCCTGAATAACCCACGTCGAGAGTCCGCTTGGCTTGATGTTCGCCGTGAAGGCGTAATTTCCATTTTCCCTTCCCAATAATTAACAAGTCCATTGTTATTTCTGTTTGCAGATGATGAGGGAATCGCCGAGTCCGGGATGTAAGAGATTTCACAAGATAAAACTCATCATTTTGTTGATTTAATCACCCCACGCTGGAGGCAATTGATCTGTGACAATTAGTGAAGAATGCTCAATTTTTAATTACTCTTTTCCATGATGTTTTAACTCATTGGATCGTGTCCCAGGAAGTGACAAGTATCCGTCCGCCACATAAATCGTGCAAAAATTGCATCGAGCATTTTCCGATTTTTCATTAAACTTTCGTAATCACCTTTTCATATCATCTTTTTTTTTCTACGAATCACGATTAGATTTGTAAAACTAGGTACTTAATAATTTGTTAGGGAGAGGACGAAGGCAGATTAGGGGTGAATAATGCACATTTTTTTATACATTTCGACAAGTGCACCTGAGAGAATTGAATGTTATTGAAGAGGGATTGTCCCCTCAGGTGCCAATTGATCTCTCTACCTCTTATTATTGTTTTTGTCTTTCTGAAATCATTTTTATATGAAAGAGTATTCGGCTGAATGGACCACTGTATGTACATATCTTCCCTACATATTAAAGAAATGTTTAAGCCTCGACGAAAATTGTATTTTAGCAGAATATTAATTATTGTTTTTGTTACCTTATTTTATTGATATTATTTTTATCAACGATGATGCTATTGTAATAATAACAATTCAATATCAAATTATTGTGTTTTTATTGCCTCGCCTTTTGTTCAATTCATCGAAAAGAAATTGAGGATTTATCTGTTATTACTTATAATTGAGAATTTTTACTGAGAAATCAGGAATACACTTTTCAATGTTTGTTTATTATCTTTGAACGTCGATTTTTGCAAAAATTATATGAAATTAAATGGGACACTCGCGAAAAACCGCTTTTACCTCACGCCCTGTCATTTCTTTTTTTTCGCAAAAAAATGTTGAAGACAGTCTAAAAGTGTTCAAGTGTTTTTGGAAATTGAATTTTTTCGTTTAATTATACCGATGATTTTTTCCTCTTTTAATTTTTCATCGGCGGTTTTTCCAAAAATTCTTATTGACTTTTCCAGAATAGGGTAGATCATAGAAAGCTCTGAATGAAATATCAATTACATTGTACGAAAAGTGTGAATTCTTGGCGTGATCGACTTTACTCGAACAACTAAAGTCTCTCGATTTTATCGAGATCGATCGATCACTCGATGAAATAAAATAAAATCGAATCAAAAAAACCTTCCTAGTCCAAAAAGGACACGCTCGGCACAATCGATTATCTCGAAAATCTCGAAATCATGGCGCGATTCCTTATTGGTCCGCCTAAAGTGGCGCGAGATTACAAAGTCTTTTCTGGTTTGATAAAAAAAAACACCATCTCCAAACAAAAAGATCAGCCTAGAAAGATGGAGAGCCAGATTCTATTACCCGGAGTATACAACAGTATAGAGTTCAAACAATCGTTGTAAGCTCTAATCAAACTCAATTGAAGCATTTCAATTATTGCCGAAGTACGGATTTTAAACCCCTTTTTTTACATATCGATACAATAATTATCGCATTATTCCCATCTTTCCATTCACTGAGCAAAACACTGAAACACACGTTTTAAATAAAATGAACTGGTGAAATTCACAAGAAAAATTAATGAGGCTTTCATAAAATGAATGAACTTTATTATTTTCTATCTAGATTTACACTAGCATAATCATAATCAACATTACAAAATCAACAAACTCTAAAATTAGAAATGTGTTCCGCCCAAAGCAATTTCATGCAATTTACAATAACACCATTTTAGTAATGAAAAATTTACTGCTGATGGATTTAATTACTAGCTCGTTTAGTAATTCATCAGAAAAGTCTTCTGCCAGCAGCGCCTCATGTCGTGTGATAAAATGACAAAATTCTTCACTGGATAACAATGTCAATTCCGTATCCCTGCCACTGTCACTATCGGTAATTAAACTACTGAAGAGAATCGCTCTCCGTACTGTGCGTAGATACAGCTAGTATTACTGAGATATTCCATTACTACTTGTCTATGGAACTCAGTGAATAAGATCATTCTCCACAATTTTAGTGCATCGTAATTACAGTGTTCATACCATGACTGCTCAGTCTATAAATTTCAATTGTTCATTCCAGTGCAATCTTCTTCTACTGAAATCCTTCTTTCTTTTATTATTTTTTTTTTTATCGTTGAGTCACAAATGGAACGTGAAAATCAAATGATGAGTCGTGGGATTTCACCATTTTTGGGGGGACTATACGATTTCTGTACTCGATACAGGGAACATTGACGAACATTGTTCGACAGTTGGACAATTACTTCCATCATTCATGAACACTGATAATGTTGATTCAATATTATCAAAAGGCAGTGTTTTGACATTGTCAAAGTGAGGATTGTTCCTATGGATCCGATGGTAATTTTCATTCATACTATATAAACTTATGATCCTAAGAAATTGTATTGATTTTCTATTGCAGTTCTATAATAATCCTGTTGAAGATCTATTGAAATTTTAATGGAACTCCAAGAGAACTCCTATAGAATTCTAATGGAAATTTAATAGAATTTATTCATCATTTTCATGATGAATTCTATAGGAGTTCTATTTAAATCTTTATAGAATTTTGTTAGAACTCCTATGAAATTCCACTAGAAATTCAATAGAATTAGCCTATAATAATTCTATAGGAGTTCTATTCAAATCTTTATAGAACTTTGTGAGAACTCTTATAGAATCCCACTAGAAATTGAATGGAATTAGGCTATAATAATTCTATAGGAGTTCTATTCAAATCTTTATAGATCTTTGTGAGAACTCCTATAGAACCCCACTAGAAATTCAATAGAATTAGCCTATAATAATTCTATAGGAGTTCTATTCAAATCTTTATAGAACTTTGTGGGAACTCCTATAGAATTCCACTAGAAATTTAATGGAATTACCCTATAATAATTCTATAGGAGTTCTATTCAAATCTTTATAGATCTTTGTGAGAACTCCTATAGAATCCCACTAGAAATTTAGTATATTTTGTCTAGAATAATCCTATAGGAGTTCCATTGAAAATTTGATAGACATCTGCGAGAACTCCTATAGAATCTCAATAGAAATTCAATACAATTTCCTAGAAAGAAAGCCGATTTAATGGGAACTCTATAATAATTCTATGAGAGTTCCATTAAAATTCAAACGGATCTAGAGAACTTTAGATCTTCTATAGAACGCCTTTAGAGCACCAATAGAAATTCACTGGAACTTCCTAAAAAAGACGCCAGCTTTTTCTACGATTTGCATTCAAGTCCACAAATCTCCATCAGGATAAAATTATAAAACGACTTTCGTTGACAACTCCAGCGAGAATTAGTCCTCCTCAGTAACGTCACTCACACCTCCGAGAACATCACGTCCTTGATACCACGAGTACTCGATGCCCTGGATCCTTGATATTTCCATAACCCTCGAGTAACTGTCATTATCAGCATCAACTCGCTGATAAACTCGTTCGTACGACATTAACAATATCGTCGCCACGCAATACTAACTAGTTTCGTCTGGAGACAAAAGATCCTCCGTCTGCGTGGCGACGTCTCTACCTCACGTATTTGACAATTCACTGTTGCATAGACTGTGATTCGACTCCCAAGGAAGTGGCGGTGGAGTGTGAATCAGAGATGGAGTTGAACATCGTGCTATTGAGCACTGATCCAGCGAGCAGCGGTCCATACCTGCACACAGAAAAACAAATTGCATTTTTTCATTCTATAGTTTTTTGCTTCTCCATGGAAACATTGCAATCGTTCGATTTTTCGATTTTCTAATTTTGCCTGGAAATGACGTAGAACGGTCTGAAACGTAAAAATACAAAGTTTGACTGTCATGTGTGTAATAAACGGGTAAATTAATTCCCAAAAATCTGAATCTTTGAGAGATTACAGGTATTCCATTTGGATGTCAAACATTAATGAAATTGATGGTAAAATAAGAGTTGAAAAATAAATAAATAACATGTGAAGTAACAATCATGTCTTCTACCATTAGGAACAGCCAACTGTTTGTTTTTTCGGGGAATTACCTGATAAGTCGAATCCCCCGATGCTGTTTATGTCCAGACCACCAGTGCTCGTTGCACAGCAATGCTGCTTTCCGCTCATTTGTTTTTTTCTGCACAAAATCTGCAATCGAATAATAATGTATTATCCCTTATCAGTGACGAGAGTCTCGAAATTATCGGATATTTCCCGATAGGTTTGTTGCAAACAAATGAACGTGTCAAGTTTTCCAGGTTAAGTCATGAACACGAAGCACGAGTGATTTTTCCGAAAAACTTGATAAGCTCGTTTGTTTGTAGGGAGCCTAGAGAGAAATATCCGATTAATTCCGAAGCTCGAGTCGTATTCGGGGGATTATTTTTTTCGTTTAAATTCCCGCCGATAGAATTGCACCCTGAGACGAAGTCTATATTCAAAATATGAAAAAATATATTTCAACTTAAAACAGAGATTTGAAAAGATGAGAAGCGGTATTTTCCTCGATGAATACCACAACTAAATTCGGCTAAAGACATTTTTTTTCTCAATGCACTATAATCAATCAATATACCATTGAGGCCTTGCAGGCTGGAATCACCTCAAGTGTAGATACAAAAAACTATTTCATGCCGCCGAGAGAGCCAATGATCAGGACGATCAGTCTGATTATTATTATTGTTATTAATTGTATTGACGTACCAAATTTTCTTGTAGCATGAAATTGACGGAGTTCTTTAGAATTGATAATTATTGATCGAATTGATTGAAGAATATTATCTGGAAGAATAACATTTTTCTGCAAATATAGTTCTCTCAAATAAATGAATCCATGGTAAAAGTCAATTTTTTCCTCCGTATAGAATTCTGTGATGTTTTTTTAAAACTTTTTTTCATACTCCTCTTTTTCTGGAAATCATAAAAATTTTCTTCTCTGTTATATGAAGATATTTCACGGTATTCTGAGTGATTCCCCACCGAAATTGGAAATGGCGAAAAATGAACGCTCGTAATACTTCCACTCAGAAGCTGAAAAATGGGAATTTTTTCAGCAGCACTAGTCCAGCGAGAAGATATATCTAACGTATTCGTGTCTCGAGAAACAGCAGTATAGTCGGACTTATTCTTTTTTCCTGTAGCTCGTAAATCAGGAAACCGCTGGAAAGTCAGAGAAACTGTTGGCAGTCACGAATTGAACCCCGAAACCGAGAAGTATTTTCAATAGTGTCTCGGATAGTACAGCTCCTGATACATTATCTTTTTTTCATGTTCAATGAATAAATGCGAAATTATACACCAGGAGAAAAATTCAATAAAAAATTCAATAAATATATGACGATTTCAATGCGAGAGAGAGGGAGAAGTATCGAGTTTAAAATGATTCTTCAGATTTGATAAGAAATTTTTAAAAAAATCATCTTTCTTATTAGCTTCTATTCATACTGATTTTGCAGAAAAAATTTCAAAATCATTAATTAATTTGTCGTCGTAATTATGAATATCGAGGTAGCATTAAAGAAAAAAGATATCCACCGCCAACAGATCGTCTGAAATTTTTGCAACTATGATTGTCAGCTATGAAATATTAGATATTGAATATCATGAATTCGAATAACCTTACCTTGGTATAAAATATGTCCCGTGAAATTCTGCGGAAGTGGTTGTTGAGCAGCCAGTAGAGAAATGGATTCCAGAAGCTGTTGGACAGTGCTAGCCACGTTGCGAGGAAATCAAGGAAAGGTGGTGGTTTACTTCCGGTGCAGGCAACAACAACTTCTTGAATGGTCCATGGAGTTACCATAACGATAAATCCGAGGCTCATTGCTGCCATTGTGCGGGATACCGATGTTGATAGTCGTCTCTCATGCGCAACGAACTGAGAATAATTCATTGTTCTTTAATTAATACCAACAACTCAACATAAAAATGGGAGTTAAAGTCAATTAAATATACAATAATATGTAGCAATTGTGATGATCCACCGGTGTCTCTTTTATTTTTCGGTTTTTATCCAAGGCCATGGAATACTTCTCTCGATTCGTACAATAAGAATAGAAATGCTGACAATTTATTGACGGGGATTTTTCTAAAAATATTAATTGTCCGTGATCTCGATCTCGATGGGTTAATAGTGATAATCATGTCCCTTTGGAGAAGGGTGGCATTGATTATGACTTTATGAATAAACTCGATGAATAATTATCGATATTCAAGGACTCTGTCAATTTATTCGTCTCAGAAAATTCGGTGTTTTAAGGAAATGAAAAATAATCAGTGGAGTTTATTCAAGGACATATCCCGAGCGGTTATTCATTGGTGAAATCACTGTGTCACTTTGGATTGAAATCACGTGGAATTAGTCCTGAAATGATGAGAAATGATGGGAAATTTGTGGAGTCGTATGATTCCATCGATTTCACATGAAGTCACTTGAAATCATTTGAAATCAGTGAAGTCACTTGTTATACTGAAGTCAGCATAAGTTTTAACATTGATTTTAGGAGTGGGGGACATGGTTACAAGTGGTAACTACGTGGAGTGGGGGTACCCAGAGAAGTAAAAGCTTATGCTGACTTTAGTATATATTCCGAATTTCCGTCACTTTCACTTTTGAAAAAAGGAAAAAATAAAACCCGACTCTATGGCATTCCACGATTTTGGAAACAAATCGATATTTTATGAGAATCTCTCCAGTCACCGTTGACTGTACTTCCTATTACGCAAATGATGGAATCGAAAATTTGAAATCAATGTAAACCAATTAAAATCATTTGCGATCATGAAATGGGAGAAAAGCCGCTTGAAATCATTTGAATCCACTTAATTCCCGAAATCATTTCAAGTCACTTTGAAATCATGTGAAATCCGTGATCATTATGTCACACAGATTTGCCAACCGCTTTTCTCCAAACGCTTGCTTTGATTTTATACCGTCACAGTTAATCGAGTGAAGTCGATCGCGCATGATTGACACTTTTCGAACACCGCAGTTCACTGAGAAAAAATTCTCTCAAAATTTAGTGTACCTTTTCACCAACGCTGGGACGTAACATGGGGTGTACAAGGAAATAGAGGGAGACACTGGACAAAATGGTATGCCTCACTCAAAAATTCGTATGTGGCACCCTAATTTTTGAGAGGCATGCATTACTTTTTCATGCGTTTCCTCCAGTTTCTCATGTGACCCTTCCGAAAAAATGTGTCAGCAGCATTTCAATTTCTCATTGATGGAGTACACTGATTTTTAGGGAAGTTTCTTACTAATTTTCAATGGAATTTTTTCTCCGTGTTGACATTTCATCCAGAGCTTTCAACGATCCCCCTATTCTGGAAAAATCAATAAGAATTTTAGGAGAGAAACCGCCGTCTGGCAACTCTGGGCCCAATAGGCCCAATAGGTTTTGGTAATGCCTAATTTCTACACGGAGACAGTCGGAAGGTCTCGGGTTCAAATCCCGGCTAGACTATCCATTTTTTCAGTAATTTTTCTTGTAAAAATTATATCATGAATTATTCTGTTCCCCTTCCTACCTCATCCAAATCTTATCCAAGAACTCCATTGACGCCACAAAAATGTGGAACTCTATGTCAACGCTGGTATCACGATATTCGATAATTAATAACCCCTCGCATACCCCACACTATATCACACTCTAAAGCAATATGATGATTACTATCCTAACCTAATTGGAATTGCCGGAAAATCACTCAATTGGAGAAGTAAATTTATGATCTGTTATGCCCCGCATTAAGTCAATTGCGTCATTATCGAATATGTGGACATATAGCATTGTCAGGGTGATAGGTGCCAGCGTAACTGGATTATGTTGACCAAGTAATGACTTATAAACAATCAAGTATTGTAGAGATAATTTGCGTATGCATAGGGCATATTTAAATCGGCCTCTCGTATCTGTCAGTCGTAATCATAATCAGTCAGATGATATAGTTAAAGTAATGAACTATTATATTTAAATACCTATAAACTATTGGTGGAATTTATCCTCCGAGCCTAGAACCTACAATAATTATAAGTACCACTTATAATTATGCGTACTGCCTCCCAATTTCTTCATAATTCCATGATTACGTAATATTGATATCATAATCTGGGGCACAAAGCAACAATCGTAACAGCAACGTAATTCGAAAAAAAAAAAAATTTCTCTCAGTTGATTGCCTCATTCTAATACAGCCCCCCCAAAAAAAAACAATCACGATATCGTTTTCGAATTCTTCCTTCCTACCGCGATTTATCACCCAAGCATGATGAATGTTCCAACTATATTGGTAACTCGTAATAAAAGTGTTAAAGTGTCAAAAGAGCCGTGATGAAAAAAAAAAAACTCATCCCTGGAGATAGTGCAGTCATCATTCTGTAAAAGTCGTGCCGGAAAGAGCACCGAGAGTTCCGCGAAGGGGGAGTGAGAAAATGTTGGAGTTGGGGGTTGAATCTTCTGGAACGGGGGCTAAACGCTTGGGCGGTAATTACCTCAACCCAAGGGGTAGAGCGATGAGTCCAAGACTTGCCCCAACGGTAGTGCCACATCGTATATACAGACTTGCAGTGACGGTCGATTATTTGATTTACGATTGGGTTCCTCATCATTTTCCTCTTCCTCGGTAACCGGCAAATCTATCCACCTCGCTGTTGCCAACTTTTGTGATTTAATTTTCCATTTTTATTGACAAATCAAATACGTCAAGCGCTCAACCGCAATCGCCCGCTGTATTATCGTTGTACTGCTTTTTGCCATATAAAATTGCAGCTCGGAGACAATATTAATGATATGTATTCCGTGTATGGGTTATGTAAGGGTTAAGTATAAACATAAATGCCGATAACATCGATTTTCTAATTTGAGGGTGAAATATACGTATTGAATCTCATATTTAACCCATATATATTTTACTTATAAACATCGATGTTCAAATTTATGGGTGAAGTAGGTAATTTAATATATATTTCATAGACCCTCATGAGGGTCAAATATATATTGAATCTCATATTTAACCCATATATATTTTACCCATAAACATCGATGTTCAAACTTATGGGTGAAGTAGGTAATTTAATATATATTTCATAGACCCTCATGAGGGTCAAAAAAATATTGAATTTCATATTTAACCCATATACATTTTACCCATAAACATCAATGTTCAAATTTATGGGTAGAGTAGGTAATTTAATATATATTTCATAGACCCTCGTGAGGGTCAAAAATATATTAAATCTGATATTTCACCCATATATATTTTACCCATAAACATCGATATTCAAATTTATGGGTAAAGTAGGTAATTTAATATATAATTGCATAGACCCTAATGAGGGTCAAATATATATTAAATCTCATATTTAACCCATATGTATTTTACCCATAAACATCGATGTTCAAATTTATGAGTGAAGTAGGTAATTTAATACATATTTCATAGACCCTCATGAGGGTCAAAAATATATTGAATCTCATATTTAACCCATATATATTCTACCCAAAAACATCGATGTTCAAATTTATGGGTAGAGTAGGTAATTTAATATATATTTCATGGACCCTCATGAGGGTCAAATATATATTGAATCTCATATTTAACCCATATATATTTTACCCATAAACGTCGATGTTC